AAGGTATGAGAATTGCAAAGTCAAGGCCAGCGTGGGCTACCTGGTTCAGACCCTGTCTCAAAAAAAACAGTGACAACAAAACCCCCACACTCTCCTGCTTTTCCCTAATTCTTATTCCATTCTCTGTGAACAGCAAGCCTAACCTAACCTAGACCTTGATGATCTACCCATTTAAGAAAGTACAAGTGGTTTAAGAAAGTACAAGTATTGACCCAGGCATGGTGGTGAAGGCCTTTAATCCCAGCACTCACAGGAGGCAGAGGAAGAGGAGGTAGATCTTTAAGTTCAAGACCAGCCTGATCTATACAGTGAATTTCAGCTCAGTCAGGGCTACAAAGTGAGACCTTACCTCAATAAACCAAAAAGGAAAAAAAAAGGAAATACATATGTTGGGAACTAGAATCCAGGTTCTAGAACAGTATTAAAGTCCTCCTTAAATGATGCCATTTTCAGAGTGTCGTACCATGTTATGCGTGTTACATTCTTCATGGGTATGGACCATGGACTGAACTAAATAATAAATTTGCCTATTATGTATATTAATAGCACTGTACAAAGTATGGGGAAGAATCAAGGAAAGGACACTAGGTCAAAAAGAAAAGATACTAATAAATAAGTAAAGCTAGTTATGGTGGCTCATTCCTGCAATGTTAGCACTTGGGCGGCTGAGGCAGGAGGCTAGCCAATATGAGACTAGCCTGGGACATAAGACTCTATTACCAAGAGGAAAAAAACCCAAAACAAGAACAGACTACATAAGCCATTCACCCTAACTCATTCATAATTCACAGCGAAGGATCCTAGAAAAATTTAGCAAGTGTTTCTAAGAATACTGCCAGGTAGAAATGCTCAAATCTGAATATCACTTCCCACTGTAATGGACTATGATGCCACAAATGCTAACATTTGCTTTTTGAATTACAGGAAATGGGGGAGAAAGGGGCACAGAAAGGGACACAACCTGACATGAAACAGCTATATCGACAAAGAAAGATAACAATTTACAGGAAGTGAATACATTTGCTCCCAAATATAACTCAGGTTGTGGAATAACCTTAAAGAGTAGGAAGATCATGCTGAAGAGTAGGCCATTGATGTAAAGGGATCAGACGCTCTCTTCTGGCCTCCATGGACACTACAGGTACATGGTACACATACATATATGTAGGCAAAACACTCAAATACATAAAACAAAAATAAGTCTTTGTTGCCAGGCATGGTGGCACACGCCTTTAATCCCAACACTTGGGAGGTAGAGGCAGGCGGATCTTTGTAAATTTGAAGCCTGGTCTACACAGTGAGTTCCAGGATAGCTGGGCTACAAGACCATGTCTCAAAAAGACACACACACACAAAAAAAAGTCTTTGCAGGGTGTGATGGCGTTTGCCTTTAATCCCAGCACCTGGCCCAGATTTTGGGTCAGGGTGATGGCTCAGTGTTTAAAGTGCTTGCCATATAAACCTTAGGACCAGAGTTTGGATTCCCAGAATCTACAAAAATGCTGGGTGGGCAAGGTGGCTTACCTGTAATTCTAGCCTCAGAACGCAAGGACAGGCATCTCCAGAGCAAGCTGGTTAGTGAGACTGGCAATATCAGCAAGCTCTGGGTTTGACTGAGAGACCCTGCTTCAATGAGTAAGGTGGAAGAGCCATGGAAGAGGACTGTTTTCCACATGCACACCCCCTGCATATGCATGTGTACACACACACACGCACACACACACACATGCAACAATGCATATGGGCAATGAAAATGGAAGTGAATACTAAATCTTAAGAAAGTATGTCAATGTGGGCCAGTTGTGGTGGTCTGAGCCTTTAATTCCTGCAGGTGGATCTCTGTCAGAGGCCAGCCTGGTCTACATAGCGAGTTGAGACCCTGTCTCAAAAAACTAAAATAAAAGCCTTAAAAAAATCACAACAAAAAAGTACGTAAATTTAAAGTCATTAGCTAACAGTATTGTAGTATGATTGGTTTCGAGGAAGTTCCATAATAGGCTGGAGATCATGTTTGCACAACACACCCTGCTTGATCCACAGCACTGCAGAAAATAAGCATGGTGACACACACCCATAATCTCAGTGCTTGGGAAGTATAGGCAATATAATCAGCAGTTCAAAGCCATCCTCAGCTACATGAGTATGAGATTAGCGCCCCTGGTGGGGGGCTAGAGATGGCTTAGCAGCTAAAAGCACTTGGTGCACTTGCAGAGAACCGGGGTTTGGTTTCAGCACCCACGTGGCAGCTAGCAACTATCTGTAAATCCGGTTCCAGGGATTTGATTCCCTCTTCTGGTACTGCATGATGCACATGCAGTTACATACATGTAAGCAAAACACTCATGTACATTTAAAAACGTCAAAAGAAAAAAAGGGATTGGGGTGTAATAGGGCATGTAATAGGGTGTGGTAGCCCTGGATGGTAACAATTTTCATTCAGCAAAACTTTGTCTGAGTGGTCTTCTCTGGTGAAGCACCCCATAACAGGGGTAGGATGGAGAGATGGTTCAGTAGTTAAGAGTCCTTGCTGCACATCAATGAGGAATTGTGTCTGGATCCCAGCATCCATGTAAAAAGCCGGGTATGATCTGGTGTGTTCTTATAACCTCAGTGTTGTAGGGGGAGACAGAAAGATTGCTGGAGCTGGCTGACAGCCTAGCCAAAAAACTGTAAGCTCTAGGTTCAGGGAAAGATCCTATCTCAAAGACATAAGGTGGAAAGTAGTAAGAGGAAGATAATCGATGCCCTCCTCTACAACACACACATGTGCATACCTGCACACACACACACACACAAACGTATATACACTATAAGCATATTCACAACACTCACCAAAAAACAAAAACGAAAACAGACTATGACCATGTTAAGATAATATTAGGGAGAAACTGAAACTACACAAAGAAACTACAGGAGCCTCTATACTACCAGAGTAGTATAGCCCCAAATCATCCCAAAATGTAAAATTCTACCTACACTTACTTCATGACTAGAACAGAAGTATCCACACGTGAGTGTGTCTTCCTTTGCTCAACTCTTCTTAGAGACCTATACCTATGCTCTAGATGTCTTTCTTCTGAGTGTTTCTCCTTTCTTAATCCTCATAATTAAGCCTATATAAAATATTTCTAAGTCCCAACTCTACCTCAAAAAAAAAAAAAAAAAAAAAAAGAAAAGGAAAAGAAAAAAAAGAGGGCTGGAGAAATGGCTTGGTGGTACATACAATTCTTCCAGAAGACTGGAATTCATTTCCCCACATCCATGACAGGAGGCTCACAACTGCCTGTAACTCCAGCTCCAGAGGATCTGACACCCTTTCTGACCTCCTCAGGGACTCCACTCACTTCTATAAACCCCCACACATATACACATAATTAAAAATATCAATTTTTGGTTGGTCTTTTTGAGACAGGGTCTCCCTATAGACTAGGCTGGCCTTGAACTCAGAGATCCACATGCCTCTCCAAAGTGCTGGGGTTAAAGGTGTGAGCCGCCACACCTGGCTTAAAATATCGTTTTTATTTTTTAAAAATATTTTATTATTTTTATTTTGTGTGTATGAGTGTATCGCCTACATGTATGTGAATGCACCCATTTTGTGCAATGCCACGGAGGTCAGAAAGCGGCTTCAAATTCCCCTGGAACTGGAGTTAAGGAAGGTTCGTAGCCACCATGTGGGTGCTGGGAATTGAACCCAGGTCCTCTGCAAGAGCATTCAGTGCTCTTAATTGCTGAGCCACCTCTTAAGCCCAAAATATCAAGATTTTAAAAGGAGAGAAAAAAATTTATTTCAGTTTCACTTTAATATATCAGCTCAAGGGAAGAAAGGCTTAAAACTTGAGCTGGTACTGATAACCAAGTATTTTAGAAATGAACCACAAAGAAACAATTTTGTTTGTTTCACAAAGAAATATTTTATCTACAGATCTTCAAGAAAAAAAATTAACCCACATGTATGCCAAATATGAGAAAGTATATTCAGGCAGAGTCAAAGCCAGACAGTAACACTTATGTCTTGTGCAGTAGAACTGAAAGTCCAGTCTGTTTTCACAGTGAAGACAGTAACAGTACCCCAAAGATAACTGTACTGGGGATGGGACTCTGGGCTTCATTATCTGTAAGATATACTAAATGAAGATGCAGTAACAAAAAAAGCATTTAAGGAAATACATTTTGAAGCACTGCCATAGCAACAGAGTTTCCAGCTTCCCATGCATGAGCTACTGTTTCTTTCTGAACATAAAAATATTATTACAAGGTCACTGTACTGAACAATGAATATACTTGAGTCTAGAAAGAGTCGAAGTAAGGCCTTAGGGCCCCCTTAGGATTGTGAAGGAAGTGCTGGAAGAGAAAATTTAACACTAATTCAGGTAGGGATCACTGAGATAGTGAAGAGCACTGAGAGATCACCACTTCTGTCTGCTCATAAATACTAAGCTCCCTGTGAATCCCCTGCCAGACGGGCTAATTCTCTAAATGAAAGCTTCCTCAAACTCCTGATCCTCCTGCTTCTACACCCCGTGTGCTAGCATTACAAGCATGTACCATCGAAACCTATTTTCAACTGAAAACTCAACATGTAGCTCCTGAAGTAGAAGAGGTCTCTTCCCATAAATGAGAAAGCACATGAAACAGGTCTTTGCTTTGTGATCTAATGTAGCAGGTATATTTGAGGGACTTTATGGAAATTACAGTGTTACCTGTCACCAATATGGCCCCAAACTAAGAGCCAAAAACTATGTCTATTTCTGATGGGGTCCCCATAGCCTCTCCTTATAGGTACCCAGAGAATGAGATGAATGACTGTCTTGGGTCTCTGAACGGTATATTAGTTGTGAGCACAGACCAGAATTAGGCTTCCAAATCACTCACAGAGGGACTGAGTAAATATGTGCTGAGCAAAGATCACAAAACGCTGGGCCCTAGGGCCTCACTTTTCAGGAGATAAAAGCTTAAGGAACGGAAGAATTTTGTTTATGATACTGGCATTTACAAACCTGTTTTGGATACATTTTGTTCTGGATTTAGCAGGTCCTTGGGGACACAAGGGTCAGCTAAGAGGGAAGTGGAGCAGCAGGAAGGCAGGTTCTCCTGCCGCTCTAGCACAGCTTCGAGCTGGGCCATTTCCTGCTGGATCTTTATCAGGTTAACTTTCATGGTAGCTCTCTGCTGCAAAAACAAGTAAGGACATCGAGAAAGTTACACACTTTGAGAGACTCGCCATAAAATAAAAATGTTATACCAATTAATTTTACCAGGGGAATTGAAAGCACCTAGTATGGAATTGCAAGTGCTGGCTGAATATCTTTTAACCCAACCATACCCATGCAGTTAACAGCCTTGAAATTATTTCAAAATGATGTTGGAGCAGGGAAATCCCTCCAACTCTCCCCAATAGATTTGCTTCATTGTAATGTCCTTAGATGGGGTGGGGTGGGGTGGGGGGATTAGGGCCCTTAAGTTTAAAATTAGCAAGAACCTGTTAGCATCTTACATAAACTATGGTTCAAAGATTTGGTATTGAGAGACTCTCAAGACATTCGGGTTAGTCCACATAAAAATATGCGATTTACTTATTTATTTTTGAAACAGGGCCTTGCAATCTTGGGCTCAAGTGATCAAGGGAGTAGAGGTGCATGCTACCACACTCAGCTTCAAGCATATGCGGGTTTTTTGTTTTGGTTTTGGGATTTTTTTGGCGTTTTTGAGACAGGGTCTCTCTGTAGCTCCATCTGGCCTTGAAATCACTGCTTAGACCAGGCTGGCCTTGAAATCAGAGATCCACCTGCCTCTGCCTCCCAGTGCTGGGATTAAAGGCGTGCACATATGTGGTTTTTTAAACTAATGAAATTTTGAATAATTTCCTATGGCATTCTAGAAACCCTGGAAGGTCAGTTACTGTTTTCAATTCAAGATAATGGGCCCCTACTTATAGCTCCATTTCAAGAAGAGGTAAGTCTGAGGTATTTGATAAGCAAGGAACTTATGCACATAATGAATTTTCCACAATATGCAGCACTTTTAAAAGGAACATTGATAGCTATTTTGAAGCTAGGGGTGAGGGAGGAAGAAACAGACTGTTCTACCCCTTACATCTTCTGAGCCTCGAAACTGATTTTGCTCTTTACTAAAACTAAGCCATTTTCTTTCTACTGCTATACCAAGTTTATAGTTCTCAGGAGGTTTTTATGACCAGAAAATGCATCTGCAGTTTCATAAAAGTTTCCACTGCTACTGAGACCGCATTGCTGCCAATGTCTACAGCAACGCCATTGCCACCACATCGTACTCCTGAGCATTTACATCACTGATCAAACCCCAGTCAAGGCCTTGCTTGTCTCAGTAAATCAGGAATGAGATCCACGGACAACTGACCAATGATTCAGAAGCTGAATTGGCACTGTCACAGCTACCCCATCTGACCTCTAAGAGGCAGTTAAATATACCAGAAAATCAGAAAAAAATAGGACGGAGTTAAGAAACTTTCAAGTTTTCCCTTAGGAATTAACTTATAACTGAGTAAATTTTCCCTATGGGCAACTGCTTAAATGGATTAGGGAGAAAAAACAAAAAACAAAAAACCAATCCAGACAGGTAACCAAGTCTGCTTAATTCTAACTCTGAAATGTCTCTTCAAGAAGCAGTATTACCTGTATTATTCCTATAACACTACTCTGATGCCAACTTTAGTACAGCTACATTACTGCCAAAGTTCCTTGAAGCCCTGTTTATCAAGACTCCATTTTCCAAAAGGACCTTAGTGGAATAATACTGCTCAGACAGTAAGTTAAAACTTTCGGAACACTAAAGAACTGTTAGTCATTACTGCCCTTAGGATAAAGTCCAAATTCCTAAACATAGCATTCAAAAATCCCTTTACACCCTGACCTTATCTGTTATCTGTTCCCACTATTCCCCATACGCCTTGTTTTCCAGTGACACAGGACAATTTGTGTTCCCTGGTTATTCAAAGCATCTGTATCTTTGCCTCAGTTATCTACCCTTTTACTACTTGGAAAATTCTTATCTTTCAAATCCAGCTTAAGTCTTTGAGGGTTAGGCATGGTGGTGGCACACACTCTTAATCTCATCTCTCAAGAGGCAGAGGCAGGCCCTGTCTCAAAATTAAAAAAAAAAAAAGGTATTTTTGGAAATCTCTACCAATGAGTACCTGTTAGGAGCATTACTTGGCTTATGAGGCCAATTTGTCATATGCTGAAGGGAACACATGATCTCCTTGAGAGGAAGAAGCTTGCCTTGTTTGTGTTTTTGTTATACATCCCAGGCTAGCTCCAAACTAGAGATTCTCCTGCCTTAGCTTCCCGTGTGCTGGAAATACTGGGGTTATACAATAGGTTATGCAATAGGTGTGCAATATCATGCCTGGTCCCTTCATCATTTTTGTCTTCCCAATGCCTAAAAGAATATAAGTTCTCAGCAAACATGTAATACAAAAATGAATTAATGAATCAATATAGTCAATTAGTCTTTGGTTGAAAAAAAAAAAACTTGAGGGTGGGCATGGTGGCACGCACATACCTTTAACACTGGCAGGTGGATCTCTGAGAGTTCAAGGACACTCCTCTCTATATAGGGAGTTGCAAGACAGCCAGGACTACACAGCCAGGACCCCATCTCAAAACAACCAACCAACTACACCTCCCCAGGAGATGGGAGGAATACCCTCCAGATAGCTCAATGGGTAAGAGAGTATGCCACCAACCCTAACAACCTGAGTTTGATTCCCCAGACCTACATGGTAGGAGGGGTGAACTGACTCCTCAAAGTTGTCCTCTGACCTCCACATGAATACTATGTCACACATATGCATATGTACACAGATGCACACATACACACAAAACAAATAAAATTCAGTAGAAAAAAATTTAACTGGGTGGGGTGGCACATGCCTTTAATCCCAGCACTTGGGAGGTAGAGGCAGGTGTGACCTTTGGGAGACTGAGGCCATCCTGGTCTATATAGCAAGTTCCAGGTCAGCTGGGGCTAAAGGGAGATCCTATCAAAAAACAAAAAAGCAAAAAACAAACAAATAAAAAGCAACAAACAAACAAACAAAACACAAAAAGCAGGTGGTACATGCCTTTAATCCCAGCAGTTAGGAAGCAGATGCAGGTGGTTATCTGAGTTTGAGGCCAGCCTGGTCTACATAGTAAGTTCCAGGCCATTCCGGGTTACATAGTGAGACCTTGTGTCAAAAAATCAAAAAAAGAAAAGGTGTATTAATGATACAGATTAGGCATTCTCTATCTTCTACTTACTTCTCAGTCCTATATAAAAAGAGGGGAAAGATCCTACTTCAATCACTTCCCTTGTCTGTGCTAGTCTAGATTTAAATTACCTGTTTTGAATAGATACTTGGTAAAAACATTTTGCAAAATAAATGCTGAACAAATAATAGGCATATCTCTGGGAATAAGATCAGAGATAAAAACAACAGCAGCAAAGTAGTTGACTTAATGTCAGATATAATACAGTATGGCTAAGGCAGATGGAATAAAAAGCTGGAACCTAAAACTTAAAAACACAAGGGACAGAATTAGGTGACAGGCATAGTGACAGCCCCAAATCTACATCCAGAAAGGATGAGAGAAACCGAACATAGAGAAAAGCCTCCTAAGCCTTTTCATCAATTCAGTCACCATGACAATCCTGCAGAAGAAAATTCAGGTGACAGATCAGGTACAGAATGGATGGTTCCTCCTCACCCTCATAGGCTTTGAGTCTGGGATTTACTCTGAACAGAGACTGGCCAGTAGAACCCAAGTCCTATCTATTTGTTGTCCTCACAGCAATGCCAAGATTTAGAAAACTTTAAAAACTGGATACCACCTGGTATTGGCAGAGGTACAGGAAAGTGGGAACTATCAAATACCACACAGAGAAGCAGACTGGCTTAATCCTTCTAAAGAATTACTATGCATTTTACATAGGACACAGTGATAGAACTACACATTTAACTATAAGTTGTCAAGCTAGTAGGAGATAATACATGAAAGCCTAAGGCTTCAAATATGAGAGTTTTGAAAATTTTGGTGTCACCTTTATAAAATGAAAATCACGTAACAGACCCAGGTTCTATGACAAAGATAATGCTTTTCCCAAGAGACTGTCCTGCCTTGAGTACAGAAGCATTCATATGATCTAATGCTGTAGACAAAAATAAGCTGTTTCCCCCTGAAAAAGGAACCAAATTATTGGTCTCAACTACTAGGTTCGGAAATGAAGACTGTGTACATTCTTTTTTTTAAAAAAAAAACAAAAAACGATGAAGCCAGACGTGGTAGTGCAGGCTTTTAATTCTAGCACTAGAGAGGCAGAGGCAGGCAGATCTCTGTGAGCTCAAGGCCAGTCTGGTCTACATAGTGAGTTCCAGGCCAGCTGGGGCTACAGAGAGACCCTATCTCAAAAAAGACCAAAAAAACAAGAAAAAAAGATGACTGGCAAGTACCAATGAACAACTAACTAGATTATAAAAGAAAAGAAAAAAAAAAAAAAGAAACATCCACCACACCCTGAAAAGGCTCAACGGTCTCAGGAGAAAGACAGCTCTGTAGCTTCCAATTTGGTTCTGAGAATAAATATAACCCCTTCTTGTTAACAATAGTGTATTCATATAATTTTGCTATGGGGTAAGTAGGTTTTCAAGATCTAGCTTATTCACTTAAAATTCAGTATTTAGTTTTCTACAGTGAGCTAGATGGTGGGTGTGCATGTGTGTGGTGGTTTGAATGAGAAATGTCCCAGACAGTTATTTTAACACCTCGCATATGGGTCCACTTGGTGGCACTGTTTGGGATGATCATGGAACCTTGCTGGAGGAAGTCACTGAGGGTAGGCTTTGAGAGATCATGGCCTCGCCCTACCTTCAGTTCCTTCTGTTTTGTGTTGGCAGTTGAAGGTGTGAGCTCTCATTTCCTTGATCCTGTTGCCATACCTCCTGGCCATGATGGACTCTTATCCCTCTTGAATCTTAAGCCCAAATAAATTCTTCCTTCTGTAAGTTGCCCTAGTCAAGGTATCTTATCACAGCAACAGAAAAATAACCAATACAGTATGCCTGCTATGAAAGGTAGTGAGGTCCACCAGAGTGCTTTAAATAATCCAGTTTGTAGAAACAAGGCATCACATACAGCATGTCATTACTTCAAAGGAAGATATCACTAGGTTTAAGAATGCAGGACTCATACCACTAAATGCAAAGCAAATCACAAATTTGTTCACATGATTTTTACCTGACTTGTCAAAATATCACTCTGGGAGGAGTCTTCAGAAAGGTTTGCTTCACCCTCATATGCAGATGCTGCTTCATCTTAAATGATAAGAAACACATAAGCTCAGATGTAAAAACTCTGCAACTTAAAGTTCCTGCGAGACTTGCTTCACTTTTTGCTTTGCAAAATTGTGATTTCCTCTTACAAATCCTACAGTAACAATCAGAAGCTGGGCTAGGCATGGTAGTGTTTATCTTTAATCTTGGCACTCAGGAGGCAGATCTCTATGAATTCGAGGCCAATCTGGTTTACAAAGCAAGTTCTAGGCCAGCCAAGAATGCATACTGAGACCTTTTCAAAACAAAAAACAAAAAACAAAACAAAACAAACAAACCCTCCCCACAAAAAATACAAAACCAGAAGCAAGTCCATTAACAACTAGGTCAAGTCCACTAACAACTACATCATTAAAAAGTCATTCAGTCAGCAGTCTGGCTGCATGAAGGAATTATTTCAAAAGATTTTATGTGTATGTATCCTTTGCCTGCATGTAAGTAAGCTTATGTTGTGCAATGCCTATGGAGGTCAGAAGAGGGCATTAGATCTCCTGGAACTGGAGTGAAGGAGGTTGCTAGCCACCATGTATGTGGGTGCTGGGAACTGAACCCAGGTCCTCTGCAAGAGCAGAAAGATTACATATGCATACACACATGTATACTGGATTTTTTTGGTTACTGTTTTTTTTTTTTTGCTTTTTGAGACAGGGTCTCCCTATAGCCCCAGCTGGCCTTGAACTCACAGATATCCGCCTGCCTCTGCCTCCCAAGTGCTCGGATTAAAGGCGTGCGCTACCACGCCTGGCTGGTTGTTACTGTTTTTGAAATAGGGTCTCCCTGTAGCCCAGCTGGCCTGGAACTTGCTATATAGCCCAGACTGGTCTTGATCTCAGAGCTCTACCTGTTTCTTCCTCCCAAGTGCTGGGACTGAAGATGTGCCATTCCTAGCCATTTTTATTTATGTGTATGTGTCTGTCTGTGCACATAAAAGCAGGTACCTTCAGGTTCCTTGGAACGGGATTTACAAGAGGTTGAAGGTCACCTGACACTCTTAACTGCTTAGCTCTCTCTCCAGCTCCATGAAGAACTTTTAACTTTAAAGGAAAAGAACTTTAGGAGGACCATCTTTCAAGTTTAACTGTACTTGGAAACCTGTAAAATGTGCTTGCCCAAAAGCATAAACATTTAGCTCATTCCTATAAAGTAGACTGGGGCAAACAAGTAATCTGGTTTCAATACCTAAATCTGAAATCTCGTTCTCCTCTTGATTATCTTTTTCCAGGCTACTTTCCATTTCTTCATCATCTGAAATCAATTCCTTGTCACTTAGAACAACTTCCTGGTTCTCAGATGGGTGACTCATTTGTTTAGAAGAATTAAACAAGAGATCTTGGGAGTTTGTATTTGAAGCCACATCTTCCAATTCACTGTGCTGTGAAGAGAACATGCTAGCGGAGTATTTTCCGTCCTCGCTAAGGTGATGTTCCTGGGATCCCTCTGCCAAGCTCATCTCACTATTACAGTCATTTATGCTATTCTTCAACGGTTCTTGGTTCTCTGTTTTCTCTGACAAACGCTGTGTCACTGCAGGGCTATGTTTGGTAATTTGAGATGTACTGGTTACTTTGCCAAGTAAGTGTTGGAAGCAGGGAAGATCTTCATCCTCACTAGATGAGGATTCTAATTTCCTAGACCTTTTTTGGTGACTTCGAGCCAGTGATGTATGGGTTAAAAGGACAGGGCTCCTGCTGACCTCTCTTCTCAGGATACTCTTGGTAAAAACAGCAGACCTTTCCATTATGTCACCTTCCCCAAAGCTAGTATTTTCCTCTATCTCATCAACGTCAAACAGGTCATCAGGTGTCTCAGAACAAACCTGAGAAACACTGCCACTTCTCATTGTTTGCTCTAGTTGTTCTGAAAATAGACATGGAGAGATGTTTGCACTACTAGCCTGGGCTTCTTGCTTTTTTATTTCAGGATGTTTACAATCACTTATAGGAAAACTTTGCTTATAGGCTTCAGGTTGCATAAGACTTCTTCTGAGCACAGTGCTTAACCTGGGTCCTCTGTTTCTATCTAGCTGTTCTTGAAAGTCTTCATCACTGGGACCTACTTCATTAACACTGTCTGAGCTACCTTCTTTACAAGGATTTTCTCTGCTATCTTGACTAATTGTATGCACTGGACTTTGAATGCTGATCTCATTGTCCATTGCCTTTTCAGTTGGTAATGAATGTTCCACAAACCTTTCCTCCAACAAAGTTTTTCTATGGTCAGTTTTTACAGATGACCTGATGGAAGAAAGTGATTGTTTAAGATGCAAATTTTGTGAAATTCCAGGTTTATCTGCAGAGATGAGTTCACATTCCCTGCCTCTGAACTGAAATGATGGACAAAGCCTAGAGACTCCTGTACACTTTGCATCATTACCTGGAGTATCGTCCTGACAAACCACAGCAAAGTCTCCTGTGGTATTAAATGCCTGTATATGACTGATTTTAGACTCTTCCCACCCCTGATTTTTTTCTTTTTGCTCACGTACAAGAGACGGTTTTGGACTCAGCTTCCTTAAGAACACAGAGTGGGCACAGGCTGTTGTAGACTCCTTTTCTGGATTTCTGGGATTTGAAACTAGAGCAAATGATTGACGCTTTGAGACCTGGCATATATTTTGTAAGTACTGAGTATCCAGTTCACTCTCTTCCGTGTCTATGCTTGTTTCTTGAATGTGGTTAAGTTCAAGTCCCAATGGATGCTTGAAGCCCTCTGTACAGTTTCCAGTATCTTTAGAATCATATATAGGTTCCTTGGGTTTTTCACAAGCTATATACTGAGCCATACCCTGATTTGCATTCCTGAGAGTGTTAGGTTCCAGTAAAGAGACACTGTTCTGAGAGCCATGATCTGTATCAGGGACCAATGAAGTACTCGTACTCTCTGGAGATCTTTCAGACCAACCCCTTTCTTCACTTAGCATAGGATCTTTGAGCTCTTTGCTTGTTTCAAGTTTCTCTATTGCTTTTCTCTGAGGGTGAGGACTGACAAATTCTTGAGGTTTATTAGAACTCGAACAGTTGGTTAATAAGCCAGGAGTATTTGTTAGTTTCAGTGCTGAGAAGACATCACCAGCACCTCTCCTGCTTACTCGCTCATCTGGCTCATCACTCTCCTTGGAGCCAGCTGCAGGTTCTGCATCTTCTAGGAGCTGATGCTTTTTCCCATGCCTCACTGGCATTTGGTTGGAATTATTTCCCTTTGTTTCTTCACTGCTACTACAACTATCAATTTGAAGTATAGTATGAGTAGGTGGACTTGGATTCCCACTGACTAGCTCAAGAGCAAGAATATGCCTGTTAGAAGACTTCCTCCTGAGCCTATTCTTCTTAGGTGCTTTTGAATTGTGAACATTTAATTCTAGTTCCAAACTGCTTATACTGTTGCTTATAGGTTCGGCTTTAGTTCTGAAAGCAGACTCTTTTTCCAATGATTCTACTGGGTTAGGATTTTTCTCTTTCTGAACATTATCATCATTTATTTTGTTCTCATGACCACCATTGGTAATATTTAGCACTTGACCATTCTGCTCCATTTGGTCAGCTCCCTGATTTATATTTTCAGAAGTCTTTTGAACAACTGTTAAATCTGCTTTCTTGATAAAATCCTCAGGATGAAGGCATGATGCAGTTCTCCTTCTACGCTTTAATTTATTTGTGAAGGGATGCTCTTGTGTGATCTGTGGTTCTGAAGCAAATGCTCTTAAAATTTCAGTCACATGGTTCAAGTTAGGAAGGCTTCCCTTTCTCTGATAGGTTTTCCCAAATATTTTATCTTTGATATTCCTCTCTACTGGTTTGGAGCAGACTGTTTCACTTCTGCATACTGAAGCATTATGAGGATCAGAAGCCAGTAAGTCTATTTTCTCTGAAGAACCAGAACATGCTTCTACTTCATTTGAAACCTCAAATGTACCAGCTCCTTCAGCACTTGCCTCATGCCTGTCAGATGTACCATAAGACGTGAACATTTTACCACTTTTGGAAAACCATTCATTAACTTTCCGAATGCTGCTATTTAGTGTTACACAAGGAGTATCTTGGGTGTCACTAAGACTCTCAGAGGAGGGAGCCTTCTGTTTATTCCATTTTTCTCTTTCATCAAGGGGATCAGCATTCAGATCTGCCTTTTTCTCTGTGCTGTGACTCTGTCTATCATGACATGTTTTCTTACTTCCAGCCCATCTGCTCTGTTGGCTCCCTGCTAAGCCAGACTGTTTGCTTTTACTACAGAGTTCAGCCATTTCTACATCCATTCTGTCTTCAGTGAGTAATAAACTGCCATTCTCATGCTGTAATAAGCTGGCATGAATATCTGTGCCACATGGCTCCTCATGCAAGTTTGAAGTAGAAGTACCCTGATACTTTTCTGAATGCTTCTCAACTGAATGACTCCCAATGGTGTTCAAATCTCTATTACTGGACTGATGATGTTCAATATTTGCTACGTCCTCAGAAAACTCACAATCAGCTGAAAATATACAAAAAATAAAAAGGTGGGTAAGAATGGAATTATGAGAAAATACACACCTAATACAACTTGTGAGAAATCAATTCACAAGCTTTTAAAAGAGAAACTAACATCACAAACTACCAAGTATACTGAAGATATAGCTCATATTCTTTTAAGTGATTCCTATTTATCTTGAATCTGATTATTTCCAAACAAGATAATTAGACATTTCATATTCCCCTAATCTCTAAGAGTGAACTAAAAGTATATTATTTAATCAACACAGATCTAGCTCTGTTTTGTTCACAGACTCATGTATTCTGCATTTAAAAACCAGTTGATGCCAGGAGTAGTAGCACCCATCTTTAATCTCAGCAGCTGGGAAGCAGAGGTAAACTGATCTCTGTGAGATTGAGGCAGGCCTGGTCTACACGCTGACTTTCAGCCCAGCAGGGACTTATAGGGAGACCCTATCTCAAAACAACAACAACAAAACCTGTAAACAAAACAAAATTCAGTTGACAGATGAGTTTGGCAGCTCACATTTATACTCCAGCACTCAGGAGGTTAAGGAAGGAGAAATAATGATAGTTCAAGGCTAGTTGAAGCCTAAGAGACTAACCTCTGCGGGCATTGCATGACACGGGTGCACTCACCTACATGCAGGCAATACACGCATACACATGCAATAAAAATAATAAATAAAAAAAAAAAAGACAAGAATAAATGAATAAATATACACAAAAACTAGTTGGCAAGCCGGGCGTGGTGGTGCACGCCTGTAGTCCCAGCACTTGGGAGGAAGGGGCAGGCGGATCTCTATGAGTTCAAGGCCAGCCTGGTCTACCTAGTGAGTTCCAGGCCAGCTGGGGCTACAGGGAGACCCTGCTTCAAAAAGACAAAAAAACAAAAAACAAAAAAAAAACCTAGTTAGCAAAAATGAAAAACATCAAATAAGAGCAGGGCCTGGTAGTGTGTGCCTGTAATCCCAGCCTTGGGCTGCCAAAGCAAGAAAATGATGAGATCAATCAAGACTACTCTGGTTAGATAGCGGAATTGTCTCAAAAACAAAAGGAAACTATCAATACCCAGTTACACAGGATATCATTATAATCACATCAGCCTAAACCACTGACTATGACATCTGAGGCAAAAAAAGGTTTTCTGAGTTTTTTGTTGTTTTTTTGAGACAGCCTTCCTGTAACCCCAGCTGACTCGGAACTTGCTATGTAGATCAAACTGGCCTCAATCTCACAGAGATCTACCTGCCTCCGCCTCCAGAGAGCGGGGCATAAAAGTGTACACCACCATGCCTGGAAAGAAGGTATTTTAACTCTGCCAAAAGAGGCTGTGGATTACAAATGTTGCAAATGGTCTTCAGAGGTATCTAACTATAGCCCTGCATCTACCCACTCTCTCCAGTGCCATTAAGCCAGGAAGACTTGCCATTACCCTTTTCTGCAGCTTCAGCCTTGGATCTTTGAGGAGTGATTTCTAGCAATTCTTGATCTCTCACACTAAAGGGAAAAAAGACAGAAATGAGAAACTGTAGTTACATGTTCACAGAACCATCAAATGAGTAAGATAAAATATTTTAGTTGCTCTAGATAGGATTATAATAGTTGGCCAATCTGATTCACTTTCTGAAATTTGTTCTTCTTTAAGTACCTTCTAGTAAAAATGAAATGTTCATCTAGGTAAGGTGGCACACACCTTTAATACCAGCACTTGGGAGGCAGAGGCTGGCAGATTTTTAGGACAATCAGGGCTATAGAGTAAGATCCTCCTTCAAAAACAAACCAAAAAGGGAATGGTCAAAACTGAGAACAGGCAGTCACAAATATCAGAGCACTGCTGCAAAACATTTCTTTATGGATATGCAAATAAGAACTGAAATTTGCCCTCACAAGGTTTAGGAAGAGATGGAACTCTAAGAGCCAGAGGTCAGGAAGGATTGGAGCAAACATGTCTTCTAAACATGATAGGAGTGCTGTACTCAAAAACTAACAATTTTTGCACAAGACCTATACAAGTTCAAGGCAGTCAACATTCTAGAATGGAGGGGGAAAGTGTTAACACACCCTTACCTCTAACCGAGGAGCCAGAACAGTTGTCAGTTTTAAGGGTAGGGAGGAAACAGTTTTAAGGGTGTGGCCCAATAAGTACATTCTGTTCCAATGGATGGCCATACACCCAGGAGTATATGGGCAGCACAAATTGGACCAGATGGTTTACTTTAAAAAGAAAAAAGAAAAAGAAAGAAAGAAAGAAGTCAGGTGTGGTGGTGCACACCTTTAATCCCAGTACTCAGGAGGCAGAGGCAGGCAGATGTCTGAGTTTGAGGCCAGCGTGGTCTAAGCAGTGAGTTCAAGGCCAGATGGAGCTACAGAGAGACCCTGTGTCAAAAAGACCAAAAAGAGAAAAAGAAAAAGAGGACATGAAGTAGGGGAGGTATAGGGAGGCAGGGATGGATCTGGGAGAAGGTAGGGGGAGGAGCTGGGGTGAATATAATCAAAATACAATGCATGAAATTCTCTTACCCGGGTATGATGGTGAACACCTTTGATCCCAGCACTTGGGAGGCAAAGGCAAGAGGATCTCTGCGAGTTCGAGGACAGTCTGGTCTACATAGTGAGTTCCAGGTCAGCTGAGGCTACAAGTAGACCCTATCTCAAAAAGGGGGAAAAAAAAAATCTCAAAAACTGAATTAAAAAGAAAACACTCTCTCTCTCTCTCGACAGGGAGACAGGGTCTCCTTGTAGCCCCAGTTGGCCTGGAACTCACTATGTAGACCAGGCCTTGAACTCACAGAGATCCCCCTGCCTCTGCCTCCAGAGTGCTGGGACTAAAGCTGTGTACCATCACACCTGGCTAACAAAAA